TTCTCACATTCAAGCAAAGCATCCGAAGTTAAAGCAAAATTTAACTTCCACATATTAAGTGCAAAAAAGGAAGCAGAAAATGTCTGCGAGGCAACAGAGTATACAAACTTTTGTTCTTAAAACAGAACTTTTTCGTTTTAATTTTCATTTTACAGAGTGTATCTTTTTAATGCAAAACAACGGGCTTTTGGTTTTCACTGCTTTATATATACCGATGATTTATTAAATAGAGCCGACAATTTGTTGCCTAACGATGAGCTGACGATTGTTTGCGAGATTGGCGAGGTGAACGCCGTTAATATCTCTGACGAATCGAAAAACGTAAAGAGTAAATTGATCGAAGACGAATTGAGTAAAAATCTTGGAAATCTATTCGTGAATGAAAAATGCAGCGATGTGGCATTGGTTGTAGGTGAAAATGAACTCAAGGCTCACAAACTTATACTATCTGGTAAATTGAAAAGAGAGAAAACTTTCAAATTCTACAACAGCGTTACCAATTGCGTTTTAGTTAGGCTCGTGTTTATAACCCTTCAGAAGCAAGATAGGAAAGTCACTTAGAAAGATTTGGTTCCACACGTTTCGACTTAACATTCGTAGAATATTTTCTTACAGAAAAGGTGATCTCGAACACAAAGAGACTTGTAATTTTTTTATTTGTACCCATAAATTTCTCTGCATTTCCTACCTTTATAGAATTCATAGCATTCTGAATGTTGGGCAAGTTAAAGTAACATTTCTTTGAAAGCATCATATATTTCCGAAAATATTTCCTTTATCACGTCAAGAATTTGTTTACCTCACTAATGACGTTAGCTGAATGTTTCAAATTTGGAATCATTACGTTGTTATTTAGGAACGAGTTTTTGACCATATGAGTTATAAGTAAAGTTTCAGTGCATTAACCCAAGACGATTTAATTCTCTGTTTTTACTTTTCTTTCGGTCCTTAGTCTATTGTTGCAAAACTCGCAACAGCACAACTTAAGACAGAAAGGTGATTGTTACCGTCTTAGTTACTACTCAGCGCTTTCTTTCTTAAAGCTTAATATGCTTTCAATTATTATAAAAGTTGTCCCATCCTAACAACTGACGCGCCCACATTTAGCAAAATCAATTTTGGACTTCAATGTATTGTTTCATATCGAACGGATTTTTTATCAACCTTTCCTTTTAAAAGCTCGTAGCGAGGTTTTTGCTGCTATGTTTGAACACGAAATGGAGGAAAGCAAACTCAACCGTGTCGTCATAACCGATATCCACCAGGAAGTGCTCAAGGAAATGTTAAATTTCATCTACACGGGCAAGGTGTTTAATTTGAATAAATTGGCCCAGGGTTTGCTGGCCGCTGCTGATAAGGTAAAGAAATCTCCTTTCGTAACTTTTTTTAAAACATTAAAACATTAAAACTTTTCTTGCTTCGTAGTATGCTTTAGAAGGACTTAAAATGATGTGTGAAGGGGCTCTTAGCGTAAACCTTTCCGCAGAAAACGCTGTCGAAATCCTAATTTTGGCTGATCTACACAGTGCCGCCCAATTGAAAGCTCAAACTATAGCTTTCATCAAAACGTAAGTTTTCTTTTAACGATATTTCATGAAAAGGGGTTTAATATAACACGACCGACATACTCCTTTACGTTTAATTGAC